GGTGGTCTGGCATGGCCTTTCCTTCGGCATATCATAGAAATCACTTCCCCTCTTCAGGGTCGCCTTCTCAGTCGTAAGGGTGCTGCTGGTTTCCCCGGACCAGCCCTTCTTTCTTATTTCTTCTAATAATTGCATTGATTTCGCATACTGGATTCACTGACGCGCCTTCATGGACGTATAAATAAATAAATATCCTCGATGCGAATCGCGTGGGTTCGCAAACTCGGGGGATCTGCCTGTCTCTCCACTAGGTGAGTTTCCCATTCTTCGACCTTCGTTCTTATCGTGGAATCCTACCTTAAATTGCCGGAGTGGATGAAACATTTCATTCCATTTTCGCGCCCCAGATTACCTTCCCCAAAAAACTTGTGATTACTCTAGGCGCACAAAATTGCATGCACCACACGCCTACATTCGTGGATTAGACCCCATTATCCTCTAGGCTCTATACAAGTAGGATGGGCACACCCAGCTGTTCACGCATATCAAGTGACTGCCCTCACTCCCCCCGCCCCCCGCTCCCCTAGATTAGCTACATCCTCCTGGCCCATGAATTCCCCGATTCTCGTGACAGTATACCAGCGGGTAGCAGTCCCACTCATACACATTTTTGTACAAAAAATGCGGCGTGCCCACACGGGTTGTATAGCACCTCCCTCCAAAAGACAACGTAGCAATAGTGGAAGTTTCAAACTTTAACGAATGTTTCATTGTTCTATTTTTTCTGCACATCTGGAGTATCGACAAACGAGTGGTCATAAAACGGTTGATCACGCAACGCCCTGCACAGCGTATCAGATCGTTCCCGCGCAGACGCACCGTTATCGATCAGAGCTTTCGCAAAGGCTGGCAATGAGGCTCCGGATTTTCAGGGTTCCATGAAATCGGTAACCTTTACTTTAACGATCATCACCGGATCGCTTGGATGTTTCCAGCTCCCTGCCCGTTGAACACTTTGCGAACACGGTTCTACACTACTGCAACTAATCATCAATTACGCTCGTTCTGAAGGTCGCCTATCTCCGACATCTAGGACTGTGTAGGTCGTCCAACAATAAGGGGGCGATCGACTTCGAACGTGGGTATTTCCATTGGCGTGTCCTTTCCTCGCATTGATCTGCCAAACTTCTCGCTTCTGAACTCGGTCGAGGAGAAGGCAAGCAGTCTTCGCGAAACGCATATTTTTTGGCCGATACGTATACATTTGAATGTCGGACACACTTCGTTTCCTGCTCTTCCGAGGCTTTTCCCGCCATTCTCTGTGGAATTTAGAAAGTTCATCAGTTTCTACACTACACTCTACCCATACTTGACATTTTTCCACCTCGGCTTGGAGTTCTTTGTCTCTATCTGCTATGGAAATAGTCTTTGGTGACCTTTCCAAGAGTTCTTTCACCATTTACGTTCGGAATTAGCAGCATAAGCGATGGTCCCGATGTTTTTATTTTATCCAGATATGGATATTTTGTTGAACCGAAACGCTTGGGCTACATCTGCGGTCAAGCCGTGTGCGTGGTGCGCATAGGTGTCAGCCTAATGCTGTATATTATTCACCAGGTGGATAGAGTGTTCTAGGGTGTATCCTTCTAGCAATAAGAAGGCATTCCAGAGTAATGAACGAAATAGGCAGTCGAACGCCGTCCCAGTTCCGAGGTGTGCTAGATAGTAGGATCAATGATTTCTCAGCACTTTGGTATGTTCAAGTGAACTTGATATCTAGTCTCCAGAACAATTAACGCCTAGTTTCATAACCCATTTGGTTATCCCCATTGCTTAGCCCTAGCAGATGAAGAAGGTAAGAAGAGCGGTTGAGCCATCTTGTCTTCTGCTCTCGGACGACCTTCTATGCTTCATTTAGAATCAATCCGAAACAACCGCCTCCCAAACCTTCATTTTCCCTATTTCTTTACCTCAGCCAATTTCCTCGGCCAGAATGCCAGCTACATAGGTACACCATCCCAGTTCTGCTGACTTTGGTTCCCCCTTCCTCGATCACCGACTGCTCTTTACTTTATTCACTCCTCGATGAGTTCTGTAATTTCAATCAGGCCCAAAACAACCGTATGTATCCCTTGATTTAGCCCCTGCAGAGCTTCAATTTAGCCTTCTTTAGCGTAACTAAGTGTCCTTCGTGAGCTTTTACAGTTCTGAGCAGCAAAAATCCCTCAAGTTCTGTATCTCCTGTCGGCCTTCTACGCATCGTTCTTCAGTTAAAGGCAAAGTTCGGGCTCAGACCCACTTAATGAGCCTTTACGGTGGCTAGAAGCGCTAGGCACGCAAGTGTATGGGTCGCGTCACTTCCCTACTTCGAAAACCGTTATTTAGACGCTAGGCTCTAAGAACTTTGACACGCTCCACCTGCTGCGACACGCTCCGCCCACCGCTCGATATCTTGACTGCGTCGGAATGTTGATCTGCTATGCTCTCTCTACTTAGACTTCTCTAGCGCTCTCCGCGCTCACATTATCTCTCTCCCTGCCGGCCTTTTGAACTTCTCCGCACCGTAGAGGAAATGGCTCGTATTTCCTAAGCATTTCACGATTTCTTTTTCTCTTTTCTGCACTGGCGGTCCACTACCTACCCCTACTTTCACATTTGAGTGGAATTAACTCATAATTCAATCCTGAATCTTGCCTTTAAAGTACCTGACCTTTCTCGCTTCAGACCCACACTACCCTGTCGTCCTTGGTTCCACCTTTCGCCACAATCAGCTCCCTTTGTACATCTACATTGACCTCAGCATTGTTCCAGGTTTGCTGGACTGGTATGTGAGAAATGGAGGCCATTTTCTAGAATCTTTCGTTCAGTTTCAAATTCCTCATTGCTTTATGAACTTATATTGTGCTTCTCTCCCCTTCTCGTATAAATCGTTGCCGTAGAACATACATCGAGGCGGGTGGGATCCTCTTTTCCTCAGTTTCTGCATTCACCTTTTCTCTACCTTGATACATTCCTTTCAATCAATGCTAGTGTTGTGGTTGAGCACTCCGGCAGTGATTCCTCGAGAACAACAGAACGGCAACTTCAAGCCTAGAAAACTTCCCCACCTTCACAGCCATAATTTGATCGCTCTCCCGTTCATGGCGGACACTCATCCCCTGAGGGACCCTTCTACCGCTATAGCCCCGCCATCCCATTTGGTGACTTCTCATTCTAGGTGAGTTTACGCCTTCTTGGGATTCGCTAGCTTTGTCGCCATTCCAGCACATTTCCCTAAGATGGGACTTGGATGTCCACGCGCTTCATAAGATCAACAATCTCTCAAGGCTTCCCATTCGGCAATCCCACACTCAATCTCCATTGGACTTACTCGGCGGAATTCTTAAGCTTTCAATGGTCCGTGATACTAGCGATCTGATCTAACCGACCTATGTAATCTTCTTCACCGATTTTGTGGTTCCTCCTTCGCTGAGCATGAGCGCCATCTGAAACGAGCTTCATATCGCACACTTCAGACATTCTGGTTTTTGAAAAGCGCTGCGTTAGTACCTACACTGAAAGGTAGGCGAGGCGTAAATATTGCATTCTTCTGTAAAGTCAACAACCGAGACTTTTTTTGTAGGTACTTGTCACACAGTGTGGAGGCACTTCGATTAGCACATGCCTTCTTCGTGTAGTCTTGCAGTCAAGTGCCCATCGCGTAATATTGCCCTTGAGATAACTACGTGGTGTTCGGATGTAGCTCGTCATATTCAGGAAGGGATAAGCTTCCAAACTTCTCATAGGTGTATTTCAAGTTTGGTCAAAGGAGGATCGACGATAAGGACGAAGGTCGAAAGAAAACGAAGACTGCATCGTGGCGAAAACAGCAGCGCAGCCCTTCTAAGGCGTAAGGACGACACGCAGTTCACAGCAAAGGATATATACCCGGCGATCTAGCATGGCCTTCCCCGCGGGCCCGCCATTCGGTATGCCTGAGTTTCTGGCCGTTCAGCAGAGAGAGCGTCAGCGTTGAAGTGGGTAGCACCGATGAGAGAAGCATCGACGCGCAAATCGCAATTGCGCAAATCTACGGGCAAGGAAGGAGTCCTATTTTTGGGATCCTGGGCCATTTTTTCTCGGTTTTTTCTTCCTTCGTTCACCAATGACCATTTCTAATTTAATTCCTAATGGGCTTTTTCATCGTGAAACCTGCCATTGAGCGGAGAGCATCCCCTCACAGAAAGCGCCATGTCCAGCGCTGCGGAAATTCCTCTTGTCGTGGCCAGAGATCACATGACCATGGAACAATCCGTCTGAACAATCAGTTTATTTGCGCAGCTCGGAACGACATCGTTCAGCTGCTTCATGACGATTTTCGCAGTTGAACTAACTTTATTGATCACTTCTACCCATCCAGTTCGAATGTTTCCCTTCTCGAGTTATGTAGTTGCTGTCCTTTTAGTTGAAATGAAGGTTGTAGGCAGCAATTTTCTGCCACATA